AAGTATGACCTATTACATCCTCATTCCAATGACCATACCTCTCTCCGAACTTCTCTGGCCACAGTTGACCACCAAATACACGCCCACGCCGATATTTATACCCGACGGAGGAAGCAAAGCGTGGAGCACAAATCTGGAAGACTATTTTTTGGGATGGACGTGAGAGGATTCAGGACAAGATCACAAAACGCTGCGAAGGATTGATAAAGTGTTATATTAACTAGGCTATATGGGAGCAGGACGATAAAAACTCTTGGCGAAATTATGCTCACAGTAGGTCTCTATGGTCGCTGTCGCGTGTGTTCTCGTGATATGTAAGACTTGACTCTATATTCTCGTATAACGAAAGCTTAGTTACAATGAATGGATGGAGGTTGAGACCTCATTATATCTTGCTCCAGACTTACTGTGTTGTTCACAACCTAGTGCTAGAACATTCCTTCATGACACCATTTCTCTCCTACAAGAAATGACCAGCTCGTTCTCTCTCAGTCTATCAGTCTCTCGCTGATTCCATTATCTCTATTCCATCGAGTTCTAGTTTGGTCCAGTATACCCACACATGCATTACACACTAAACACCCCACGGTTTAGTTCCACAGTCACGTGCATATGCTATGACGCGACCCAGAGCATGTACCATGGTAAGTTACATGGATAACACAACATAGTCTCAACGGGCGTGGAATTTCGAATTTTGGAAAGGAGTTTTTACAAATTGAGCTTTTTGCGTGCCAAGTCTTCGGCTGCGAGAGTGCAGGCGACACTATAAAGACTGCCATGGTTGGATGGTGCGGCGGTACATCATCTTGGCCGGTCTGCCAAGTAGAGTGTGGATAGCTTGGACACATATCCCGCTTGAGACAGTAGATCACTGGTTCAAATCCAGCAAAACACAACCACACATCTCGCGGCGCTGGTATGCATGGATGACAAAGGCATGCTTGGGTAACCAAAGGTTTTTAAATTCCCTTTGGTGGGTATTATTATTATTAATTCATTTAATTGTCCTGTCTGAGTCTATGACTATGTAGGACATGCAGGTCCTCTCTGTCTACAGGCCAAGGATACCTATACCAGTAGTATATCCCCTCCTATGCCTCCCATACAGCTCCCCTCAAACAGTACCACCCCTCACAAGTCCTCATTCGATCATACACTAAGAGGAGCCCTTAGCCCTTCATTATCTCCCCTCTCCAGCCAACGAAACGATGGCTATTTGCGGGTGTACGGCAGCCGGGAAAATTCGCAAAAACCACTGGGTGCGGGGCTCTTCTAATACCGACATTAGGAATAAATCCGAAGACATATTGCCCCTTCTGAAGCGTTCGAAGAGGCCGGCCAGCTGGGCGCTGCAGACTTGCGGGTACCTCGGGAAATTCACCCTCTGCCATTCTAGCCTCCTTCCAACTCCTTCCTGAAGGTCGTGCTGAAATGTCAGAAATGTCTTGACAGAGCGTGATTGCTGTACGGTAGCTTAGCCTAGCTTCTTTTGTACCGTCCAGGGCGCTGGGGAGTGCCGTTGACTCATCGACAAAAGAAGCCCTCCTGGCTAATTAGCCGAAATCTTGGTCTTGGCGCCCATAAAAAATCCAAAGTTGAAAACTCCTCGAAAATGACAGTCCCAGCATGGTCTTCAGAGACCCCTTTCCCCTCTCGCTCCACATCTCAGCCGCTTGTTCTTCCTCAAGATGTATAACCCCATTAGAGCAGCAGTCCCCCATAAACCAAGACCCCAACTTTGTATTTTTCGACTTGATTTCCTCCTTGCGGGTATAAATAGCGTCGTAAATATGTAGAGAGTGATGGCCGGTAATGAATGAGGCAAGCTCCTGTTTGCAATTGGGGTGATGCCTTTATCGGTCGTCGAGGCGAAGTGATATGTGGTTAGATCGGGGTTGAGGACTCAGAAGATAATGATGAGTGCTGCATGGTTGAGAAGTCGTCAAATGGAGATATACATGTGTTTGCTTTCGACTTCGATTCGGATGCGATTCTTCTTGGCTATCCCAGATATGCAGAGCATACTGAGCGATTACACCGGCACCACTGGAAGGTAAAGAATTCGTCTTTGCCGGCTCCCTTTGGTGGGTACTTACGGGGGAGGGTCGACTGTTTGTGTAAGCAAACATACCTCATAGTGGTATTTGCGAATGAAATCCAGAGTATGAGTGTCACTAACGTCAAAAGAGTCATCCCACATGTATACATAGCACCGGTCATGTGTCATAACTAGACCGCTGAATACACATTAAATGATATAAAAAAAATTAAAAATTAAAAGAAGGCTGAACACCTGTCAGTGGTGTCCTCCACGAACCTGGAAGTGAAATATTCTCTCAGAGCCGAGATTCAATCCCGATAAAGGGTGAACGTGAGATTTTTCGTCGAGTTGGCGATCGCGAGGAGTGGGATGGCTCATTTTTGGTCGACAATCCGACTAGCAGAGATTTCACAACTGCGTAGCTCAACGAAATCAACCATCTACAACCCAAATGTGAACCGCAGACAGATTGTAACCTGTCTGATGTTCGTATTACAACAACCGACACCTTCAAGGTCTAATTACCTTTTCTCTGGAAAATCATTCCTAGCCAAACTCATCTCGCGGCCCTGTTCACAATCATCTCACCACCTACCGAAGCAATCCCATACCTCCAAAAGTCAAATCGCCAACAAAGAAGCTGGAGGATGTCCTACCCTCGGCAACTGCAGTTCGCTGTGAAGGTACGGTCGAAATACCGGCCTTAGATGCGTCCTCACCTCGGCTAAGGGCACCAACAACTCGATCTGCGACAAATCGCCACCGACGAAATAGGTTCGACATTTCGCCGGCACAGCAACTAGACTGTTTGAAAATAGCTAGAGCACAGGTGCCTCGGGTTTGAACTCTCGGTCACACTTTCGACCTCCACGGATAGGGGTACGGCAGCGACGGGGCAAGGCCAGAGGGGTGAACATTCTACAAAGTTTCTGGGATGACGAGATCGGCTGAAGGACAGAGGGATGCCACATGAAGGAACAAAAGGGAATACAAACTGAGGAGGCCATCAATAACGAAAACGACCTCTGGGTGAGACGAGGAGATGCTGAGATGAGCCAAAGCTGGGACTGAATGGAAGGGAAAGGTTATAGATCGCAAAGGTGTCAAGGGCTTGGACCCGTGGTGGCCGAGTCGAGGAGGAATTTGCGCTTCGGCGCGACAAAAGGGGGTTCTCTGGACAGTTGGAATTGACATGATTCAATACATGGGTGAAGTCTGAGGTGGTCCAGTCATTCAGGTGGGACCAGGTAGATGTACTTGATGGTAATTAACCTGATCCAGCCCGGCCCCCATTCGTGCTTAAGCACCAGGAGGAGTGCGGAGGGTGCAAATTTCCCAGCATGTTAATATACAAACAAACAAACAAACACGTAGCTTACAGGATCACTACATGTTCCATACATTTAGAAGATTGTACTAAGGCTTAATAGTCAGAGAACTCCATAATTGACATACTGAAGTTCAAACTCCTCATCAGACTTGGCCACCACGCCCACAAGCCCTCGGTAGATTTTTGACCTTTTTACGTTCAACCTCTTCGAGTCCCAGGCTTGCATTACCTTCACTATTCCATCGAAAATCTCCGTGGAAAAAGAGTCTTAATTCCACGTGTAAGTCTCCAGCAAAATGACTATCCATCGCGGGGATTATGTCAGAGATCTTTTTCGAAACAGTGAGGACATCAGTATTGTATAAGATGTGGCATATGTTAGAGAAGAGCCAAATGTGCAAGATAATTATAGACTCAAGCAAAACAACAAGAAACTAAACTACTCAATCGTAGCATCTCTCTTGCATATCCGACAATCTTTAGCTCAGAGGAGCTTTGAAAACTGTCCTGCACCCAGCCTTGTCTCACTGCAGATACCTCCCTAGCCGCGACGACCGAATATACGAATAAGAGCTCAAAACCAAAGCATCAACGCTACTGCTTTTATCGAATGCTTCAGTAAGCATACCAATTAGATAGCGTGATTATCTCGTTACAGGTGGAGATTTTGGTGATCTTGATCGAGGTTTAGATGGATTTAATGTCGATATCAGGGCCGTACCTTCACCGCATGTGGAAACCCCATTGTCCTGAGCGTGCAACAATTATTTTATCAGTGGTATGGCTTCAGAGCAGATGTAACACTGCAGTTGAACTGGTCATAGCTTTGATATTTAAATACTGGATGTATGATGTGAATTTTTCTTGTTCATATTCTGCGATTTTCACTTCATTACATTGGGTTGTATGCGTAGTCAATGCTTTCTGAAGTTCTTCACGATGATTCTCTTTTGCACCTTTCCTCAGCATTAGGTTCTGCCATGCGTTACCATCGACACCCTGATGTCTAGGTGTAAATCATGTGAAATATTGCCCAGTATTTGAAAAAAGATTCTAGTTACCGATAAGCCAGTTCTAGCAGAAAATTTTATTTTCGCCCCTTACATCTGATGCTAATCGGAACAAGTAGTGTGTGTTTTGATCGCACGTGACCCACTCGAATAAGCGAGTTTGGAGAAAGTGTTTTAGGATCACCAACCTGTGACAATCCAGCTACCATTATTGAAGCGTCCTCCAAACCACCAAATTTGACGGTATCTCAAGTATACAAGGCCAATTTCTCAGACGTCGTCTTAACTCTAATTGTGCAAAATGGTAAGTTACTCTTGACTCATCTGCGTCAAGAACTACAGCTCTAAGGGCCTCTCGCTTGAATGAGGAAACTCACGAGCGCAATTATGCTGAGTGGTCTATAAAGAGAGGTTTTTTCTTTTGTCAAATTTACGTATTCCGAACTAATATGATTTTGTTTTAGGTTCTCGCCGTCGATCTTCTGAACCCCACGCCTGCTGCTGAAGCACGGAAGCACAAACTCAAGGTACGAAATGGGAATCATTGGAAATTTTGAGGGGCCCAAAATTGATGACATTAATATAGAACTTGGTTCCGGCGCCGCGGTCTTTCTTTATGGATGTAAAATGTCCTGGCTGCTTCACAATTACTACCGTCTTTTCCCATGCGCAGACAGTTGTAATCTGCGCTGGCTGCTCGACCGTTCTATGTCAACCAACGGGAGGAAAGGCTCGATTGACAGAAGGTTGCTCATTTAGAAGAAAGTAGTCAAGATACCACCCATCGATTTTATTCATGCAACTATAATTGAGGCTATACTGGAGCTGGAGATGGCAAAATGACGCGAAACTTGTGGGAGGAAATCCACAATAAACCTTTGCGAAATTCAGGGATACGATCAACCGTTGATGATATAAAATTCTTAATTCATTTGAATGATTTGACTTGTACGATCATCCAGAACAGTACCCTAACCTGAGTTTCGAGTTATCTAAAAGATTTTCGATCATACAAACGTGAACCCTATATCAAAAGCTTTCAGAATACAAACTATTGACGAAATAATCAAAAAGATTAACAACCATTGTACTTTTTAAACGCTAGTCTCTATTAAAAGCCAATATATTTTCCAGCATGTTTGGTGACAATATTGTCGCTGCTAATTTACCCTCATTTTGTGCCTGTGAAAAACACCTGTCTTGCAACTCAAGAAAAGTTACACTAACTTTCTAAAGAGTGTCCCATCCAAAACTAAAACAAGTAGATCAGGTGTTAAAATAAGCCTTTCAACATTCTCTCAGTCTATTTAAAGCCTTTGTGCCTGTACAGTTGAATATCTGTACAACAAGGGCCTATTCACAACCGTGCTAACCATATTGGATTGTTTCCCTCAAAGTCGAACCTTACATGCTAATTATGGCGTAAAATTTTGGTCACTGACAGAGAATTTATTTTCTTTTCAGACTGTTGATATTGCACCACTCAAATTGGACTATCCAGGTGACGTTGCTCATCTCTAAATCTTCACCCGAAGCCAAATTATCTCTATTTCTTCCTCTTGAAAAAGATACGTGGGACACAGAATTACGTTGTAAATGTGGCCTGTAGAGCCTTACAGCTACAGATGAAGTTAATGTACTGCTAGGCATATCATGTGGCCTGACTAGCTTAGTTTCATTCAGGAGCTGACTTACTACCATTAGACACTCCTTGTATGGAGGGCAAGACTGAACACCTGTACGCGGTGTTCTCTACGAACCTGGGAGTGAAATATTCTCCCAGAGCCAAGTTCAGTCAAACTTCGCAATACCGAACAAGTTGGCCCACGAGGCAATGACTCAAATTACTCCACCATATCAATCTTTCACTCCCAACGAAATCGATTCCTACCTAAACCTCATCAAGTTTACAAGTACGACCTAGTACATCCTAATCCCAATGACCACACCTCTTGTCGTCTTTCTCTGGCCTTAGCTGGTCGCCAGATACACGCCCACGCCGATATTTACACCCGACGTAGGAAGCAAAGCCTGGCGCACAAATCTGGAAGACAATTCCTTGGGATGGATGTGAGAGGGATCAGGACAAGTTAATAAGATGATGCAGAGGATTGGATACAGTATCGACGGGCGTGGAATTTTGAATTTTGGAAAGGAGTTTTTACAAATTGAGCTTTGTGCGTGCCAAGTCTTCGGCTGCGAGAGTGCAGGCGACACTATAAAGACTGCCATGGTTGGATGGTGCGGCGGTACATCATCTTGGCCGGTCTGCCAAGTAGAGTCTGGATAGCTTGGACACATATCCCACTTGAGACAGTAGATCGCTGGTTCGAATCCGGCAAAACACAACCACATTTCTCGCGGCGCTGGTATGCATGGATGACGAAGGCATGCTTGGATAACCAAAGGTTTTTAAATTCCCTTTGGTGGGTACTAACGGAGGAGGGTCGACTGTTTGTGTAAGCAAACATACCTCATAGTGGTATTTGCAAATGAAATCCAGAGTATGAGTGTCTCTAACGTCAAAAGAGTCATCCCACATGTATACATAGCGCCGGTCATGTGTCATGGCTAGATAGCTGAATACACATTAAATGATTTAAAAAAAAAAGACACTTCTTGTACTTTCAAGATATTCTGCCTAAGCGAAACGATGATTAATATTCTGCGACCTTGTCAGACATTCTTCTTACCATGAAAATTATAAAATGACTGAAACTATTTACCGAGAAATAGATGGAATCAGATTATCGAAAATAGTTGGCTTGCTGTAGAGATATGAATAAAAAAATTGGAGATAATAGGGACGAGAGTGTCAAAACTTTGAAATACCCTTCCGAGGAGGATTCAAAGCTTATAACATCAACGGATGAGTTCATGGCGACATGTTGAGCGTCTAATGCAACATTTCTCATTTACCTCGGATATCCATTGCAGTTAACAACCGCACTACTACCTTTTCGATTTACAATTTTGTTACGGTTCAATGATTTTAACTATCTCCTTCATGTAAGTGAAATATACTGCAAGATATTCCACGAGAACACACATCAACTGGGACTAGAGATAGTTTGAAATCCGAGGGAATCGTTGTCCCAGTTGAAATGCTAGATGACTAAACTGCTAGGATACTATTGGAACACAGGACAACTGAGGTATTCAAATTTTTCCAGTCCTATTTATGAGGCTACAGATATCCGGTAGCTTGTACATTACTTTCCTTGTACAAAATAGAGAGAGGTATGTTTATTGTACTCCTTGAGTCTTAGAAAATTGAGGACATTGGGCTCCGCTCTGGTCCAGAAAACACCTCGTACAGTGCTCCTATCCTCTTTTGTTACTTGAAAGATCATTGATATATTGCCCGTGATGAATAGCCATTCAGCTCAGTATTTACCCGTGGAATTCGGCCACCTTTTCCACGGAACCTTCAATGCAAAAAAAAGGTGCAAACGGTAGCAATGAAAGCTGCGTGCGTGAGAAAAAGTCTCAAAAAACCTACAGCCCCAGCCAGGCGAGGCCTAGACACCGTAACCACATGAGGTGCGCATATTCATCTCTATCTCTCTTAGTAACGGTCGAGGTCGACTTGATCCAATCCACCATCTCCGTATCGGGTGCTGGGTACGCTCCGGAAACTCATCGGATGGCTTCCCCTCCATGATCAAGGATTGATGATGAGTAAAGCTCCAACCCTACCATCTGATCTGGTCGTGGTTAGCTTCATGATAATGGTGATAGGAGAATGTGTTGAGAGATGAAGATGATACAAACGGCGAAAGCGATGGGGAAACCTCGTCAAAGTGAGGACATTGTTAGTGATTCTCGGCTCTGCAGACTCTACAGTGAGAGCTGGAGGTTCGTAGGGGACACCACTGACAGATGTTGAGAATAGTCCCCCGTGTACAATAGATAGAGAGTGAGATATAAAATTATTGCATAAACCATCTGTCACCAGAACCTTTGTGTTAGCCTATTTAATACATTAAGCCATTGTTACACCTACATAAACCTATGGCGAGGAGGGCAAGACTGAACACCTGTACGCGGTGTCCTCTACGAACTTGGGAGTGAAATATTCTCCCAGAGCCAAGTTCAGTCAAATTTCGCAGTATCAAAGAAGTTAGCCCACGAGGCAAAATTTCAAATCACTCCACCATGTCAATCTTTCACTCCCAAAGAGTCCGATTCTCAACTAAGCTTCATCAAGTCTACAAGTATGACCTAGTACATCCTCATTCCAATGACCATACCTCTCTCCGAACTTCTCTGGCCTCAGTTGACCACCAAATACACGCCCACGCCGATATTTATACCCGACGGAGGAAACAAAGCGTGGCGCATAAATCTCGGAGATAGCTCTTTGGGATAGGCGTGAGAGGGATCAGGACAAGTTTACAAGATGATGCAGAAGAGGGATACGTTTTCGACGGGCGTGAAATATCGGATTTTGGCAAGGAGTTTTACGAATTGAGCTTTGTGCGCGCCAAAACTTCGCTTGCGAGAGTGCAGCTCACAATATAAACACAAGCAAACGATGGAAGGTGTCGTGGTCCGCCTCCTGGTGGTGTTCTCTGGTATAGTTTGAGTAGCATGGGCACCTACTCCACTTGGGAAGGAGACATCTCAGATCATATTTCGCGCGGAGAAAAGTTGATGGATGACGGAGGCATGTCTGGATAACCCAGGGTTTTTGAGACGTACCCCTGGGTGGGTATTTACGGATGAGGGTTGACTTGGGGTGAAGAAAAAGCCACCACAACTTCGCAGTGGTACTTGCAAATGAAATCCAGGGCATGAGTGCTCTTCCTTTACGTTGAATCATCTATTCCGTACTTTTCTCCGATATTGTGTCATAGCTAGATAGCTGCAGACGCAATTCAAATCTGATTGAAAAAAAAGCGTGTCAGTCTGAAGGGCGACACGCCAAGCTGCACCAATCCACATGACTAACTATCAACATATTGTAACCTCTCTCATGACTCATGTACATCCCAAAAAGAATTGCGACAGCATCCGAATTTATTTGCGTCTGCAGCTATCTAGCTATGACACAATATCGGAGAAAAGTACGGAATAGATGATTCAACGTAAAGGAAGAGCACTCATGCCCTGGATTTCATTTGCAAGTACCACTGCGAAGTTGTGGTGGCTTTTTCTTCACCCCAAGTCAACCCTCATCCGTAAATACCCACCCAGGGGTACGTCTCAAAAACCCTGGGTTATCCAGACATGCCTCCGTCATCCATCAACTTTTCTCCGCGCGAAATATGATCTGAGATGTCTCCTTCCCAAGTGGAGTAGGTGCCCATGCTACTCAAACTATACCAGAGAACACCACCAGGAGGCGGACCACGACACCTTCCATCGTTTGCTTGTGTTTATATTGTGAGCTGCACTCTCGCAAGCGAAGTTTTGGCGCGCACAAAGCTCAATTCGTAAAAGTCCTTGCCAAAATCCGATATTTCACGCCCGTCGAAAACGTATCCCTCTTCTGCATCATCTTGTAAACTTGTCCTGATCCCTCTCACGCCTATCCCAAAGAGCTATCTCCGAGATTTATGCGCCACGCTTTGTTTCCTCCGTCGGGTATAAATATCGGCGTGGGCGTGTATTTGGTGGTCAACTGAGGCCAGAGAAGTTCGGAGAGAGGTATGGTCATTGGAATGAGGATGTACTAGGTCATACTTGTAGACTTGATGAAGCTTAGTTGAGAATCGGACTCTTTGGGAGTGAAAGATTGACATGGTGGAGTGATTTGAAATTTTGCCTCGTGGGCTAACTTCTTTGATACTGCGAAATTTGACTGAACTTGGCTCTGGGAGAATATTTCACTCCCAAGTTCGTAGAGGACACCGCGTACAGGTGTTCAGTCTTGCCCTCCGACTAACACACTTTTATCTATGAAGAAGAAGAAGAAGAAGAAGAAGAGGAAGAATCACCACATCGAGAGACCCATTTCGTACGCGTAAACGTGTATTTAACTTGCTGACAGATGCAAAAAGTAAGCGGAATAAGGGAAGTGGAAACGGGCTAGTGATAAACTAGAAACCACCGATCGCTACACTCACCCATTGATTACTCCTAAAAGAGACTAGCCATGGCGCTATCTGGAAGTATATGGGATTATTTAATTATCTCATAAATAATCTGTAACATAGTCCCGAAAGAGTAATTAAGCCGTCTCGAAGTATACAAAGAAGGTGCCTAATGATCGTCATATGAGCTTATAATTCGACCAGCAGCAAGGTACTTGAGCATGAGACCTCTACCTTACCGATGGATATTTATCTCAAGCAAAGGAGGTTCCAACACGCCAGACTATCATAAAGCCTGCCTGTTCAAGATATGATATCTTTGGCCTGCAGAAAGATAAAGCAGCCCCGAGCTGGAAGGCAAGATGCACGAGCTGTCACGAGGACTTTGGATATTGCAGAGTGAGGTCAAACATATGAGAATGTAGGGGCGAAAGAACGACAGAAAGCGGCTGAAAAGGTCGCATCTTTTAGAGAATGGAAACGATCCTGGACGAGACTAACAGCCAGGCAACCTACTAACCACCACGCCACAGCAGGTCCCAAAATCTGGAACGCAGCAAATGTTTATACAGATGAAAAGACGGGAAGAACGAAATTGACCTCTAGGGGAACACCAATCAGTATCCACAAAAACCTTAACAGGGCCCAAAGTAACATAGCCATGCAGATAAGAAGTGAGCACATTGGGTTCAACTCTAATCTGCACAGAAACATGTTCTCTGGGTAGACAGCCCACGATGCCAATGTGGATACCCGTCCCAGAACGTCAAGCATATGATCATGGCTTGCTCCAACCTGGCCGAAGGGAATAGGGAGATACTGAGAAAGGCAGAGAACCGATCATTTGAGGCCGTGATGAATAACCGGAAAGATATGGCAAGAATTACAAAGTGGATTTAACATGAAGGGAGATTGGAGCAGTTTCGACTGACACTTTAAGTCGAGGCCACGATGAGTGAGAGAGAGGGCAGTAGGGGAAAGATGATCTCCTGCCATAAGTAAGGGAGTGGACGGTATCCGCATTGGACATAACAGTGTTAGTGCACTTCGTGAAGGTAACAAAATTTTAAAGTGTATATAAATTGAAAAGTTGAGGGGGGTTTTACCAAAATGGTTTCCTCACATAAATGTTAGAGTTCGTAGACACCTGCATGGACCTCAAGGTGCCAAATCGGGCTGAATGAAATCAATTTCAAATCTGTAACATAAAACAACACAATAAGATAACATGCGCATACTATCACATTATTGCCATAACCACTCATGTAAATTCCAAGCCCCCCCAGAGTAGTCATAGTCTTGCAATTGAAGATACCAAGTGTATACGACCATATACTGACCATCCTTCAAAAGTTTCCACCTGTGTAAATTATACAGTTAGATAAACCTGAACAGGCTAAATGAAATAAAACCAAATTACCCAAATAAAGTCGTGGCACGCACTACGTCCTCTGACATCAAAGCCACTCCTTAAGACCGGAACCAATCTTCGGAATTGTCTTTATCTGTGCCAAAATCTCCCACACTCTGTCCCATGGATATGCCTTTCCATGGCGCAATACAATTCATTTTCTCATTGCGATAGTCATATTGTTGTGAGCATGTATCTGCATACCAGCTGAGGCCAAAAACTGAGTCAACATGGAGGGTGTACAGATAATTCAAGATGCCCTAAGTCGAAATTTTATTATAGGCGAGGCATTGGTTGAAATTGATCTTGTTGGGAGAGAAAATTCCATGTAGAAAGGGGTCTTGAATCATTGCTTCGTGGGCCAACCTCTTCGGTATGGCGAAATGTGACTGAACTTGGCTTTGAGAAAATATTTCATTCTCAGTTTCGTATAGGATGCCGAGGATAGATGATCAGTCATTATTCTCTATAACTTCTTAATCATGTCGATTTACACTTCATTTATTGCCGCATACATTTTCGTATTTACCAATGACCTTTAAAGCTGTTTGGATAACTTTCACAGTCCTTCATAGCCACAGATTCAGTAGGTACTTCAATTATATTCTATTCTTCATCTCTTGCTGTAAGAGTATATGAGTGCTCCAGTCAAAACAATCACTCATCTACTCATTAGACCAATATCCTCTAACCATTTCAAGGCCTTCAGATCTGATACGCGCCGTATTGTATACTGGGCACAAGGCATTGCTGAATGACAGAAGCGAGCATGGACACACAAACAGCTACTTGGTCATCGGAAACTATTCGGTATACCCCGTACAACCTTCGCACCAATAAACCCGACCAGCCCGGTGAATCAAACTAACCAACCACCGGTAAAAAAGCATTTTGTCATTTTCCAGCTCGATTGAGCCTCGGTACATAGGACTCAATCCAAGAAGTTAAAGTAGCGAAAATAGCTTTAGCTATTACGATATTAAACAGCCACGTCACGAGTGATTCTCCTCGACGTGTCTCCAGTCACCTAAATCTAGGATAGTTACAAGTTCGAGATAATTTTACTGGCATTCACGGCTCAGTCAAAAAGCAAGGAGGTAATGAGAATAGGGTTATCAAGCTGTCATGCTTAACGTTTCTAACCTTTGAATCAAACAGTCTAACAGCACGTTTTTGCATGTAACACGCTGAAAAATATTACTCATACAGATTATCGAGCCTGATTTATTCATCTATCTTTTGCTTGAAAATTGTTGCATGGATCCCCGCGAACAAGCTCCCTCGTTTACCAAGTAACGACTGACTGAAACCTCCTCAGGCGCCTCACATTCGGTATTCGCAAATTACCATCGAACGCCGATCCCTCACAGGCCAGATTGTTACATATCTGCGTTCGATGTCACGTCTACCAACCTCTCAGTCTATTAGTTTGAGCTTTCATAGAATGCGATAAAGATGCGGCCACGTAAAAGACGTCAGGACAGCTCGCAACCAGCCATTACCTCCTACTTTACAGCAGATTGCACATCTCCAACGGAAGCAGAATCCACCCCTAACACCATCAGCCAACCAATTATTCCGGCATCTATTCAATCATCTCTTCTCAATGTTGGTATGCGGATCCGTAAAGCAGTTCCAGAAGGTTATAAAACTAAGCACAACAACCAGTCTCCCAAGTCCATTGTAGAACAAATTGCACCATATGAAAGAGGAGCGAAAAACGCAACGGAATCTAAATTTGTATATGATAATTGGCAATCGAGCAATGCATCACAACCTCGACCCCAGTTAGATCAGAGAGAACTCACTCCATTCTGCGGTCTGCTTAAAGTGGGAAACTGGCAACAACAGCCTACAACATCGTATGGAACCTCTCCGTACAACTCGTGCGAGTCTGAGTTAGATTTAGTGGACCAAGAATTTGAAGCGAATTTCCCAATTTTGTGTAGCCAGAGTAGTACTATTTCTTCATCTTCTCAAAGCTCGACCAATCAGGCAGCCACTCGTAAACGACGGCTCTCCATGGATGAAGATATTATTGACGAAGGCCCCACGCTTAGTTATACGGATATAGAGTCTTCTCAAGAAAAACTTGAATGGGGCATACCGCAACAGACGAGAATCTTCGATGAAGACGCAAAAATAGGCCTCAACTCGTCATATTCTGATGAATTTGAAGACGCTGAATTTTTGGACTATGGCCTGTTAGAAGATACAGAAATAGAAGGACTGACTAACATGTAATCATCGGGAACTGATATTTCTGATTTGATTATTTTCTCTTTCGATCATACTTCATCTACTCTCTCAACTAAGAGTGATGTATTTAAAGGTGATAGGTATCAAAACGATTCTCCTTCTGAGAACTTGATCTGTTCACGGAGGATCATAAATATTTGCGAGGTTTTTAGATGATCATGAGGCTTTTAAAAATGATGTTTGCGGGCAAATTTTTATGGGTTTTGAATCTAGCTTGTATGTATTCACTACCGCCACTGCAGTGAATTAAGATACACTAACGAAAGCTTAGTAAAGTGCATTATGAGCATAAAAATATGCAGGGCCAGTTTAAATGACAATTACAATTTTAAGAATTATATTGCGTATGATGACTATTCGCTCTCCAATCACTTTTGAGACCCGTAGCACAACTATTATTCAAGAGATTTCGATCGTGCAACTACCCACGTCGATAATCTCGCCAGCCCAACGCCGATTCCAATAAACAGGTAATCCGCCATCACAATCCAAGTCATAGACCCAAAAGGTCGAGATATCAATATGGCGACAGGTAGTAACCCAAACTGGAAATATTAATACCAAATACGTTGCAGACCTCAGTAGAAAGATCTATATTGTCATATTGAAATATCCATCTCGTCGCTTTTGGCTATCGCGAGACTCTGACCCATGGTAGAGGGTTCTTGAGTCAGTCAAGTAAGGAAGCTTGGCCGTTCATGGCTTCAAATATTGTTCATATAGTTTAATGGTTCGTGAAATTCTTATTTCAGCTATTTACTGCTCAATACAAGGTCAAAATGGTTATTTGCAGTCTAATATTTTTGCGCCGTCTAGAATTGAAGAAAACTTTCGCTAAATCCTAAGTTTCGCCTATTATGCGTTAAGAATAAACGAGAAAATCTTAGGCCGGTATTGCTCAAGGTTTAAATTTTTAAAATTGATAATCTGAAGATTATTTCAATAAAAAGTCTGAAGTCAAAGCGATAGATTATATAAAAGACGGTTCACTTACGTGAGTTTCTGTAAATAAATACTTAGCTTTGTGCCCATGATGCGTCTTGGGTTTCAACCCGAGTTGGATACGCAAGTCTTACGGTCATCTCCGGATCAAGTATATTTTATTCAGGATAGGATCTGCACGCCATATTGGAACCTCATATTCACAACGGGGCTCATTGTAGATAAACTCCATGAACCCAAGATCTTTGGTTCACAAAATTTTTGCAGTATAATTAGCCTGGACTAGCAAGAGAATATCTTGTACACGTCATGTCTAACCTCGGAAGCTTTATCATTTAAAAATTTCACAAAGTTGTAAGTATATGACCTTTAGGAAAACACCTGTTCTGATGATTTAAAAATTATACTCTGTCATCCACCGCAAGAGAATTCGAATTGTGTACTCTCAAATATAGAGACCTAACGTGTACCCTTGTGGTTTAGAGAAAACATGATCCAGCGTCATCTGTAACTCTTCGCATAAACAAGCCAAAAGCAATTCCCTTGCTTTTAAGTAGATTGTTTGTTATTGTTAGACTTGCCGTGAAAGGCCCCACAGGCTCCCAAAAAAATCTAGGCGTGTGAGAAATCAGAGACTGCTATACTTGATTTGTTTAATATCTGCACTTTTTGGCACTTCCGCATCTCAACACGTCTTTTATTCCATCGTGCATCTGAGACAAAATGAATCACCGATTACTGACTATCGTAGCTGCTTTCATGATTTGCTGTGTCGCACTTAGTGTTTGGACTGTCCAGTCGTCATCTGCAAGTCCATTTAAGATTAACTCTAGCTGTCGGGAAGAATAAGGCCTCCGATCATGCATGATAATAATGGCGCCAGGACGAATTAAACTGAGGACATGTGCAGCGTTGATCCTAGGAAAAGGAATCTGGGGGTCATGAGGATAAATACTACCGAGAACAATTTGATAGCCCAAGGTTCGGAGCATAGATATCATCGGCTTGCTGAACCAGCCAGAACCCGGACGAAACCACTTTGATCTGTGGGAATTCTTTGGCAATAACTGTTCCATTTCTCGAATCTGTCGTACTAGCTCAGGTAGTGGAAGGCTGTAGCTAGCCTCGTCTGACCATCCATGTATACCAACCTCGTGGCCTTCATCAAAAATCCTCTGCACAACGTGAGGATACTCCACTATTTGCTTCCCAATAACAAAGAAAGTAGCTTTGGCGTCAAATGTATGAAGCAAGTCCAATATCTTTGTAGTCTCGGATGATGGAGAATCATCTATTGTGAGGGAGATAACCTTACGATGGGAAAATGATGGAGGCGGAAAGTGAAAGGTAACTTCCGCATACTTCCACTGAAGGAGCTTGATAAGCGTATAAGGAGGCTTGTAAATGATGTGTGCGAGATTTATACCGAAAATTAAGAGGACAGTGAACAGTAAGGCAAGCTTCAAAGTGGCGGTCGTACCGTTTGGAGGTGTTGAGCCATTGACTGTAGGAAGTTGATGCTCTTCATCATCTATCTTGAGGTGCTTAGCAGGTTTCTTAACTCGTCCGAGAAATTTGTCTAGATTAAGCCAGCTTGGATAGATGCCGCTAATATGCCGAGATCGACGTAGCAGTCCTTTCAGTCGCATTTGGACTGCTCTATTCTTAACCGACGTCACGTTTTGTGAATCATAGGGTCTCGTGTTTGGATATAAAACTTATCATTACCAAATCCTTAATCGTAGTAAAAACTTCTATGTAGACTGATATAATTCGTGGTAGGCTGGGTCTGTTTCGATAAGATTTCCCTCCAAGATGCCAGGTGGGGCTGATTACTCATCCAACACTAGGAAATAAGGGATCCTCCGTCCAAACGTCACCTCGGAGGTTCAACACACTTACTGTTAGAGATGGGAAGTCTATACCAGGAACGATTATATTAGATATCCACGAAAGGATGGATCAACATCTAATTCGAGCCGCATCCTAGAGTCTAGATAGCTTGAGATCCGTCTCTTCTCGCAACGGCCGATCCCCAGCTTTTCCAAACGAGGCGCGACAACATCTTATAGAGTTGTTTTCTACATGATTATAAAGGCGCGACCACAAAGGCTACGGCTTTGGCCAACTTTTCTTTGTTATTCAATGTGTATGCAGCTAGAGAGCTATGATACGTGATCATTGTCTTGTATACATGTAAAATGACTCTAAAGGCCTCAAAGGTACTCATAGTCTGAATTTCATTTGCAAACACAACCTCGAGAAGTTTTCACACAGAACAGTTGATCCTCGGCCGTGAGTGCTCACCAAGGAAAAAATCCAAATCGTTGGTCATCAAAGCATGGCTTCATCACCCACACGCATAAACACCACGAGAAATGTGGTCGTGTTGTATCTGGCCCAAAGAAGCAATCTCTTATCTCGAGACCCTCGAAGTCTTCGACTCAGAAGCGGCTATATTAGAATTCTCATCTTGTTTCCAGCCGCAAGTGTTATCAATATCCAAGATGGGTAGATTCTACTTGAAGACCAGCCCACGTAATATGCCGTTGCACCATACAGCCATATCTACTTTCAAGTATCGTCTCCTCTCGCAAATCTATTCTTGGGGTGCAAAATGCTCTTCAGAGTGAAATACTTGTTTCCGAACATGGAAATCTCACACCTGCCGAAGTTGTATCTGTGACACCCCGACATTTTTAGTGGCCACGTAGTCGTCGGTCCAATGGTCGGTAAGCCGACACAGGGTCACTCCAGGGATCCCAACGACTAGTTCCGAACACACACGAGTCTTGTATGTGACAAACCCCGATACAAAAGGTTTGTCTTGGATATTGGTTTTCATGCAAAACCCTTGAGTTGTTTTTATTTTACTAATTTTATTTACCCATTTATGTCCTATTTGAGTTTATAATAATGAAGGACAGACTATTAATGTAAAACTTTTCTTTTTCATTCTAATTGGGGATTGCCCTTGAGTTGTAGACAATGAGGGACAGGAGGTTTCGTGTTGGCAACTCTATTTGAACAGTCGAACTGGAGGGCAAGACTGAACACCTGTACGCAGTGTGTTCTACGAACTTGGGAGTGAAATATTCTCCCAGAGCCAAGTTGAGTCAAATTTCGCAATATTAAAGAAGTTGGCCCACGAGGCAAAATTTCAAATCACTCCACCATGTCAATCTTTCACTCCCAAAGAGTCCGATTCTCAACTAAGCTTCATCAAGTCTACAAGTATGACCTAGTACATCCTCATTCCAATGACCATACCTCTCTCCGAACTTCTCTGGCCTCAGTTGACCACCAAATACACGCCCACGCCGATATTTATACCCGACGGAGGAAACAAAGCGTGGCGCATAAATCTCGGAGATAGCTCTTTGGGATGGGCGTGAGAGGGATCAGGACAAGTCTACAAGATGATGCAGAAGAGGGATACGTTTTAGACGGGCGTGAAATATCGGATTTTGGCAAGGACTTTTACGAATTGAGCTTTGTGCGCGCCAAAACTTCGCTTGCGAGAGTGCAGCTCACAATATAAACACAAGCAAACGATGGAAGGTGTCGTGGTCCGCCTCCTGGTGGTGTTCTCTGGTATAGTTTGAGTAGCATGGGCACCTACTCCACTTGGGAAGGAGACATCTCAGAACATGTTTCGCGCGGAGAAAAGTTGATGGATGACGGAGGCATGTCTGGATAACCCAGGGTTTTTGAGACGTACCCCTGGGTGGGTATTTACGGATGAGGGTTGACTTGGGGTGAAGAAAAAGCCACCATAACTTCGCAGTGGTACTTGCAAATGAAATCCAGGGCATGAGTGCTCTACTTTTAAATTGAGTCTTCTATAATACACTTCTTTGATATGGTGTCATGACTAGATAGCTGCATACGCAACTCAAATCTGATGCAAAAAAAAAGAACAGTTGAACTCCTATGTACATATATACAGATTCATGTCTTCCTAAATACTTTTCTCTCTAGTTTAGAATCTTATGATTTCAGTCCACACCAGCTTTTGACCACTCGCCAATTGTCTTTTGTCCCTCAAGTCTACACAGTATCTAACCTATTGTGACGGGAACCCCGAGTTGGTAATGATAATGTCGATTTAATAAACTGTATAAAGAAGAGAGAGAAATCTAGCTACAACTAACGGGTATTTATAATATTCAGCCCCTCAGTGATTGTCTTGACTAATTTCTTCACCCAAGGCCGAATACTTGCCACCCAGCCACATATTATCAAGAATCACTATGCTGTGACACTGATCTGGCCCCTTGGCTGGTAGTGCCGTATCTTCCAGTTTCCTCTATCATTTCCTTACAGTCTTACAACATGAATCTTCAACAATACGCTTAGATATCCACATAAGCTCAGACAACGGCCAAACCGTAACACCTATGCATAATCTTGTAAACTTGTCATGATTTCTCTCACACCCATCAAAAAGAACTGTCTTCTAGATTGTGCGCCACGCTTTGCTTCCTCTGTCGGGTATAAATATCGGCGAAGGGGTATATTTAGTGGCCAGCTGAGATCATTGAATAGTCAATGAGAGCTGCGGTCATGGAAATGAGGATGTGCTAGGTCGTACTTGCAGCCTTGATGAGATTTAGGTGGGAGACTATCTTATGGGGAGTAAAAATTGACGAGGTGGAGTATTTTGAATCATTGCCTTGTGGGCCAACCACTTTAATTTTGGGAAGTTGGACTGGACTTGACTTTGAGCGAATGTTTCGCTCTCAGGTTCGCAACGGAAACCTTAGATAGGTTCTCACGATTCTTCCCTCTCACATGTTCTTATTATTGTTCTATATACAAAATGACTAGAGTTAGAAACCCATTGTACCGCTTGATCAAATGCAACCCCTACCTTGCGAAACATTTACATGAAGATAATAGATTTTATCCTACCAATTATTTTATCAACTACACCTTTCGTCAGCTCTAAGCTGGGAAAGTAAACGATAATAGTAAGGCCTTGAATGTCTGAGGCATTAGAATACTGCAACTCTAGAGAACCTACAAGATCCCCATAGCTGTAGGGTTGGTTCATTAAATAATAAGATCCAACACCAAAGAAGTCTTGAAAATATTCACAGGAACTTGCAAATTGACCAGCACGAGAGGGTTTAGAAAATGAAACTGCTACTCTGATAATAGAAGTATGCCTGGAGCAGCAAATGCTCGAATACATTGGCCGCTCAAGGAACATCCCAGTCTAAACGATTATATTTTGTCTGCTGTCGGTTGGTAATATACATGTGTACGCGTACGCAATGGGTTTCTCTCTGATGTGGTGATTCTTGTTCTTCTTTTCCTTGGAAACAGGCGTGTCAGCCTTAAGGGCGACACGCCAAGCTGTTGTGCTGGTGATGCCTAGGATTACGATGCACAAGGGTAATGATCACTGAGGGTGAAGGAAGAACTTTCCAGGTGACTCTATGATGAGTAGAGGAACAATAGAGCACTGTATAGAAAGTGTTTCTTGATTGTACTGCCAGATGGAGGAGACTAGAATATTTCGTGATACTATTTTGGGTAAATGAGGCGAGAGTCTAGCTACCTCAGATGTGTATATAATTAGCGCTTTCTACCTCCTTAGTCCTCACAGTTCCGAATATCAAATATATCACCAGTTCACATTGATTCATCGATAATCATCCGTAAACCTTCTGCCAATTAACCTCCGTAAGCTCTTACCTCTACAACACAAGCTGCACCAATCCACGTAACTAACTATCAACATATTGCGATCTCTGTTGACCCATGCACATACCAGAATACTGTTGCGACATCTGCAGTAATAAAAAGCTACCTAAACAAAGGAGAAAAGACGTTCAAACAAACAAAGATTAGGTTTGGTACATTGCGTAGAAATAATCGGGGTAGACCATTCCAAAAGACAACAGAAAGAATCAAGAATACTTGCAGCATACCAAGAATGGGCGAAATCTAGGCCAGCTGAAAGGCGGGCCTAACGGCATTAATGACTTGCTATCGCAGTATCCGGGCCTGGAGAGCAGTTGAGTTCTATTAAAGCAGATAGTCGGAACGATGGAAAATAAGTTTCTGGAAATTGCCATTTTTTCTTCACCGTAACCTGAAGGGCCAAAAGTAGCCTAGCAATTCAAATTCGAAGGGAGCACATGGGACTTAACTCGTATTTATTTAGACATGTATTTGGAATATAAAGCCAATTTTTTTCATGTGGTTATTAATCACAGGATCCCTAGTATATGATAAGTTCCTGCTATCTACGGTCAAATACTAAAGAGAGCTTGGATACAGGCTAAAGTTTAATACTACCAAGTCATGATAAATAACCCTGGCGAAATCAAAAGGAGATACAAATTAGGTCTAAGAAAAAAAAAGTATTTTCTACGAAAAACGGCACCAGGTTCTACTAACATTGCTTCAACATTTTCATCATTGCGTTCCTCACAATTGATTTCTTACACCTTAATTTTTCGTTGCGCTTCGGCATGGCGAGATGGGGAGCTAGAAAGGTGGACAACGAGGTTGAATATTTTTTCACGACACCACCACGGCCAATAATGCCACTGTGCTACACAATCTATCATACAATTGGTACAATAAAAACAAACACACAGACAGCCAACAATGGGCAGCTGAACAGCCGCAATCA